ATTCCATGCATTCCTGGTTTTCCACAGTTACCAAAGAATATAAATTGTAAGGGAGATTTGATCATGTATACCTTTGCTAACCCGAGTCTCAGTAACAGCCTTCCACCAGAGAGTAAAATTTGTTGTGAGGTGATGGAATCCATCGCATTGGATTAGGGACAGTTTCCACACATTAATTTCCAGGGGACATGAGAACAACATATGTTCCAGGGTCTCACTCCCATTACCACATCCCTTACAGATTGTATCAACCTACACCCTTCTTTTTGCCAGTGTAGACAGCATTGGCAACCATCCCTCATACATTTTCCATATAAAGTGCTTTAGCTTGGCTTTCACTGGCAGCTCCCATGTTCGCGTCCATAATCTTTTTGCCTCCTCTCTACCATAGCTAGTCCCTTCCCCACTATGTTCTCTTTTCTCTTTTTCCTTGATCACTTCAGTGGCAGATGACACAGAATAGATTTCATTTCTTACAGCCCCCCACACCAGTTTGTCCCCTCCCCGTAACAGACTCAGAGGAATCTGTTGAATCAATTTTGCTTCTGCTGGTACAAAGATACTGCACCTCTTTGTATTTTCCAACTTTTTGTATTTTGATCAATTAGCTCTGCCACTCTTTTAGGATAATTTGTTTCCAATCCTCTCTTTTGCGGTCCTATGACACATGAGTCAGGGTACCATTTATCTTTCCAAACACTGATCCTCCTTCCATCTCCAATCCTCCATTGCATCCCCCTCTGAATAATATCTCTGGCACTCAACCAGCCTTTCCATAGCCAAGAGTCTTTCCCTTTTTGCTGCACCTCAAATAATGAGCAGCGAGGATAGTACCTGCCTTTTATGACTTTTGCCATTAGGGAGTTTGGTTCCTGTAGAAGACGCCATATCTGTTTAGACAGTAGGGCTGTATTTTTATTCCTGAATCTGCTAAAGCCCAACCCCCCTTCTTCCTTATCTTTTGCTAGCTTTTCCCAGGTACCCCAGTGCATCTTCTTCTTCCCTTCCTTTTCCCCCCACCAGAAGTTTGCCATATCCCTTTCCATCTTGTCACAGATATTGTCAGACAACTTATAACAAGACATCACATAGACTGGTAAAGCTTGTATAACGGCTTTTAGCAATACCTCTTTACCCGCCATTGACAGTAAGTTGCTTTTCCAGTTTTCAGCTTCTGGGACACTGCATTCTCCACATAGTTAAACACCTCCGCCTTGGACCTCCCCACCACCAGAGGCAACCCTAGATATTTCGCCTTCTGTTGAACTTCAATCTCATTCATCTCTGCACATATAAGTTCTTTTTTTTTCCAGTTAGGAATATTTTTGCTGAAATAAATGGAAGACTTATTCCAATTCACCTTCTGGCCAGAACACACATTATATTGCTGCAATATATTTTTTAGGCACTGGATTTGCTCTAATTAGCTTTACAAAACAATAGGGCATCATCAGCAAAGAAAAGATGTGATATTTCAGGTCCTTCTTTACTAATTTTCATACCACTCAACTTCTCTTTTCTAATTTCTTCTCTAATAAAATAGGATAAGACTTCTGAACATATAAGAAAAAGGTATGGTGACAGAGGGTCCCCTTGCCTAATTCCCCTAGTTGGCTTTATATAACCCTTGGATTCCCCATTTATGTTAAATGAAAAGGAGGTTGTTTTCATACATTCTGCAATCCACCTAACAAATTGAAGGTCAAAGCCCATTTTAATCAGCATATAACTCAAAAAACGCCATTCTACTCTATCATAAGCCTTAGCCATATCCAGCTTAATTACCACATAGCCCTGTTTCCCAGATCGCAGGTTATTTAGATAATGGATGTATTCATGGGCTATTGCAACATTATCAAGGGTTTGTCTACCCGACAAAAAAACAGACTGATTTTTGCAAATACAAAAAGGCAATAATGGCTTCAATCTATCAGCAAGTATTTTTGAAATAATTTTATACATAACGGTGCACAAACTAATTGGTCTAAACTGAGACACATTACTAGGACATCTGACTTTTGGAATAAACGACAAAAGAGTATGGTTAAAAGCTTTTAGCATATGGTTGGACAAAAAGAAACTTTTTACCGCATTGCATACATCAACCTTAATAATATTCCAACAAGCCTGAAAAAAAAGAGGTGTCATACCGTCAATACCAGGTGTTTTATGAGGGTTCATTGAGAAGACACCACCCTTGATTTCAGCATCTTCAATTGGACGAATTAAGGTTGCGTTCATTTGGTCTGTGATAGTGCAAGGTATCCCATCAAGTGTCTCTTCCCACCTAGCTTTATCCTCCGAGGCAAACAGTTCCTTATAAAATCCTTCTATCTCAGTTTCCACCTCCTGCTCCCCTTCGCATCAAGTATCATCCTCCCTCTCTAGTGATTCGATCCTGTTACCTTTTCTTCTTTGAACTGTTGTGGCATGAAAAAACTTTGAGTTTTTGTCCCCTTCCTTTAGCTAGGAATTTCTACTTTTTTTATACCAGTAACTCTCCTCTTCCTCATATGTCTTATCCAACAGAGCTTTCAGTTCCTTCTATTTTTGCCAATCTCTCTGCCTCCCTTCCTCCTTCATCTCATCCATGGCTTTTGAGATTATTTCAATCTGTTTTGCTAAGTGTAGCATTTGAGTTCTGCTCCATTTATTCAATTCCATTCTACATGCCTTAATCTTCACAGAGACCCTATGCATAGGTGAACCCTCAACAGGCAGATTCCAGATTCTTTCTATCACCTCTTTAACACCATCTTTTTCTAACCACCTTTTATCAAAGTAGAATCTGCGAAATTTCCTCCTTAAATTATGCTCTGTGTCGAGCACTAGCATACAATGATCAGATGAATGCCTGTTGACATGTTGTATCAGTGCATGTTGGTGCTCTAACAGCCATCTCGAAGACCCCAAAAATCTATCTAATCTCTCTTCTATAAGCTCATCCCCACTCCGATTATTTGACCAAGTCCAAGCTCTACCACTGAATCTAACCTCCTCCATCCCCATATCCGCTATAAAATTTCTGAAGGCATCACAACTACTGTCACTTCTTTCCCTTCCTGCCCTCTTTTTCCGGCTCCCTGATATCACCCCTCCCCCAGAAACCACAAATTACCCCAGTCCCCCTGTCTTTTGATAAGTTCCAACCACTGCATTTTCCTTTCTTCTACACTAGTACTAGCATAAACAAAAATCCCCACATTGCCTCAATTGAGCCTTTATAGTTAAAGTTAACTTCTATACAAAAATCAGAAGCCTTAATATCCAACACAGTTACCTCAGTACTCCAGCCTATCGCCATACCCCCTTTTCTTCTAATCGGGTCCACAATAAACTATGTATCCCTAAGCCCTAGTTTCCTACTAAAGTCTTAACAAAGCCCCCTTTCTTCTTAGTTTCACATACAAACACCAAGTCAGGTTTATAGAGCCTGCATGACTCTTTGAGGTGTGAAACTGTAGAGGGACGTCCCAGTCTTCTACAATTCCACAACATGACTCTCATTGGAAACTTTGGGGCCAGTTTAGGTTGGTTGTCCCCACCTCAGTATCAATCAGCATATTTTCATCTTTCAGGATAAATATCTCAACCCCAACCTCCAATCTACCTTTCTTATGAAGGCACTTATTCTAACATGACATATTTTTCTGTTTCAAAATAATTGTTCCAATGAATCAGAAAGAGTATTTTTTCTTTCCTTTTTAATCAATTCTTTCATCAATTGTTATCTTTTTATAGGCAAAAGCTAGCAGGCAATTTTTTAAATTTATTATTATTTTTTTTTTTGCAAGGCATCGACACGATTTTGACACTTTTAATAGGAAAAAAAAAGCCCTTCAATTTACACCAAGCAGTACACGGGTTTTCAGATTAAGTGTGAATTAAGATGGTACACCAATCTCATTACTATACCAATGTCAAGCCAACCATGCTTCGTTCCCATTCCTACAAAATGTTTGTTAGCAAATAGAGTATATCAAACTTACATTTTCAATACATCTTTTTACACTTTTAATATAAGAATAAAACAGATACAAAGTGAAAAACGATCTCAAAAGAATGAGCTGAGGTGAAATTCATCAGAACATCTAACAAATCCGTGTTCACACGGATTGTGAATCATTCTCAAAATCCCTATATCCAACTTAAGCATCAGTAGAAGTCCACGAATCATTTGAGCGAGTAGATAAAGTCTATTAAGATGTTTTACTTCATGCCAAATATTAAAAGTACCGAGGGTAAAGTTTTAGAGATGCATAATATAGCATATAACTTAGCTAAATGTATTAGTGTTGGATTAAGTTTATTAAATATGTACCCTTCAAAAAAAAAACAAAAAAACAAAAAACTTGACAAACTTTTTCAGGACATCTAGAAAATCATTCTCAAACAAAATATAGTTGGATTTGGCTACACGTTTTGTAGGTATGGGAATGAGGCATGATTTGCTTGTCTATGTTCCCCTCTTAAGATGCATTTCTGGGCCTACTTTCTTTGGTTCTTGCTTTGTTTCTTCTCTTTTCCCTTTTCCCGTTTCAAACAAGTTTGATGATAATAGTAATTATTATGTTTCAGATGTTTAATCCTGTTTCTCGCCTCAAGTAATGCCCTTTTTTCTGCTGTAAATGTTTTTGGCTTTTCGCCATAGTCCAACGAAAGGTTCTTGGTTGAGGATTTCAGGGAAATGAGACTAATATATGTTGTGAAGTTCAAAATATGGTTTCTTCTGAAGTATCCAAGGGTTTGGATTACAGATTCAGTTAAAGTAGTCTTGCGTTTTGTCTTTTTTCGCTTTCAACACAAGGAATGCAACAATGGAAACGAGGACGGAATAAGACTTCAGATGTGATCTTATTCAAATTGAAATGTAATCTTGAAGAAATGTGTTTGATTTTATGGTACTACATCATTCTAAAGGTGAGTCCCAAAAGTAGGAGTGCAGTTTGTCGTGCTTTCTTATATTTTGGGACGGAAAGAGTAATAGTTGTTTAGGAAGTCGGGAACAGACTATATGATTCATTTGATGTTTGATGCTTCAACAGAATAGAGATTACAAGGGTTAGAAGCAAATGAACCATACAATGATTCCTAACAACTGTACAAGAGATCCCCCAAAATCATGATTTTAACCTAAGCTGGGAGGGGGGGCAAAAGAAGATCGATCAATCACTAACAACCTCACTAAGAAAGAAGGAAAACCTAAGAAATGCCTGCAAGAATCAAATCAGTTTTGGGTTGTTGAGGACTGCTTTATTAGAGGCTGTGATGTTTTCCCCCACTCCTCAGGGGTGCTCTTCACTTCCATGAGAAGCGCCACGACTTCCTTCATTGTCGGCCTCTCTGACGGTGATGAGTTCACGCAGAACATTGCAATACCTAATGTCTGAAGCATTTCTTGCACCATTTGATCTGGTAGGCCCTGCAGCTTTGAATCGATTACTGTCACAGCCGGTTCAAAGCTTCCCATCTTCTTCTTTACCCAGTCAACAATGTGCATGCCATCACCAACCTGAGGCTCTATAGCACTCCGACCGCTTAATATCTCAAGCAGAACCACACCGAAACTGTAAACATCACTCTTCTCAGTTATGTTGGCTGTGTATCCATATTCTGCAGCGATGACAAAGAGTTTTTAGTTTTGTGAATAAAGAGCTTGTTCATCAAATTAAAACTTGTATCGAACACTCCTATGTGTGGTATTTCACATGCAACTTGACTAATTTACATTGATTTAAGACATTGTAAGATGGTCATTAAGCAGAAATTTAAAGGAAAAACATAGATATAACTAAGATGAAATGACATTAAAACACAGAAAACTTGCCTGGTGCAATATAACCATAGGATCCTGCTATTCTGGACATCGCTTGCTGGTAATTTGGAGAATTCATTAGCTTTGCAAGCCCAAAATCTGCCAAATACGCCTCATATTTAGAATCCAGGAGTATGTTATTACATTTGACATCCCTATGAAGAATTGCTGGTACGCAGTCATGATGAAGATATGCAAGACCTTGGGCTGCTCCTACAGCAATCTTGTACCTGGTTTCCCACTCTAAGCTCCGGTTATTCTGCAAGAGCTGTTGGAGGTTTCCATTTGGAATGTAGTTGTAAAGCAGAAGCTTAGTACTCTTATTCGAACAGTAACCGAGGAGCTTTACTATATTTCTATGCCTAATGTGACCAAGAATTTGAATTTCAGCGGCAAAGGAATCTACTGGATCTTCGTCTTTCTTAGTCTTCCAAAGCTTCTTTACTGCAATGATCTCACCATTGGGCATCTCGGCCTTATAAACTACTCCAGAACAGCCTTTCCCAAGAATATTTTCATCTTTCAAACATTCCAGGATGTTGTCAATGCTGAAGTTCAGCTTCTGAAACGGAATGAAATTCCACGGATAGGAGAAGTCCTCATCCCTGGAGGCAGCTAACATGCTTGAGGTCTTTCCTGAAATATACTTATTGTTCTTTGTAACAAGAATCCATGTGGCAACAAGAGCCATGCCCACAACAGCCAGAACAACCACAATTAAAGCTATTGTTTTCGCAGATTTCCACTTTCTTTCCCCGTCCAGTCGTGAAGAACAAGAGTATCCATCAAGAGATGCACAAAGGTTTGGGTTATCAAGAAAAGAATTTGATGTCAGAGTTTTGAAGAATGGTGAGACTGGTATAGGTCCTGAGAAGTTGTTATAAGAAACATTCAAGGAAGTGAGACTGGAAAGAGAACCCAAAACTGTAATCTCTCCATACAGCATATTTCGAGAAAGATCAAGCGATTGTAACTGCGTCAAACCAGACATTGTATCTGGCAGTTTGCCTGTGAAACGATTTGAACTCAAGTCCAAACTTATTGTCAAACTTCTTACATTACCAACTTCTGCAGGGATTTCACCAGAGAGGCTATTGAAGCTCAAATCAAGGAGGGTTAACTTCTGAAGGTTCCTAATCGACTTCGGGATTGTCCCAGTGAACAAATTGTTGTTCAGAATAAGTTTGTTCAGATAACTGAGATTACCAAAACTTGGAGGAATTTCGCCGGAGAAGCTATTTCTACTGAGATCAAGTTGCTCCAAGTTTACCAGCTCTCCAAGTTGAGATGGTATATCTCCAGTAAAATAATTGTTATGCAGATCCAATAGCTCAAGGACAGTAATGTTAGCAATTTCAGGAGGCAAACCACCAGAGAAATGGTTCATATACAAATCAAGAAAAACAAGATTTTGCAACTGTCCAATCTCCTTAGGAATCTGACCTGAAAGCTGATTTTCTCCAAGCCTTAATCTCACCAAGGACTGGCACCTTGCCACACTAGCAGGTAGACCTCCAGTCAATGCATTTCCAAGGAGCAAAAGTTTGCTTAACTTCTTCAGACTGAAAATCTCTTCAGGGATTCTTCCAGTGAGCTTATTTTTTGAGAGGTCAAGCGCATATAACTCCGTACAATTCCCAAAAGATGCCGGTATGGTTCCTGAGACTGAATTACCCCACAAGAAAAAGCTCTGTAAGTACTTCAAATTCCCAATTTGCCAAGGTATTGGACCTGATAATTGATTTGTATCCAGTTGCAGGGCTGTTAAACTGGTACAGTTACTCAACTGCCAAGGAATCTGACCAGTTAGAGCATTATCAGACAAGTGAAGCTGTTCAAGAACCATTAGGTTTCCCAACTCAACAGGAATTTCCCCAGACAGTTCATTTGCAGAAACATCCAGCACCACAAGTGATGAACAGTTAGAAAGCTCAGCTGGGATACGCCCAGTGAGTGAATTCCCCCAAAGAAGCAAACTTGTAACCTTCTGCAACTTTCCCAATTCAGAAGGGATTGATCCAGAGAGCTTATTCATATGCAAATACACATTTCTGAGCTCTGAGCATGAACCCAGTTCAGGAGGTATTGGACCAAACACATCAGTATTATAAAGGGCTAAAGTCTGAAGATTTACCAAGTTCCCAAATGTTGGTGGTATAACACCAGAAAGTCCAGTGGCAGCAGCCCCAAATGTTGTCAGATTGGTAAGACTCCCCAGCTGTGGTGGAATTTCTCCAGTCAAATATGGATTTCCCCCTACTCTAAGCTGTTGAAGTGATGACAAGGAACCCAACTGTGAAGGCAATGACCCATTAAGGAGATTATCTTGGAGACAGAGGATTTCCAAAGAGGAGAGATTAGCAAGCTGGGGTGGTATTTTTCCTGTCAATTTATTGGAGTTCAAGTACAGGAACTGAAGGGATGTTAGCTGGCCTAATTCAGAAGGAATACTGCCTGAAAGAGAGTTGGAAGAGAGGTCTAACAGGCGAAGATGGGACAACAAACCAAATGAAGGAGGAATCACGCCTGAAATATTGGTGGAAGAAAGATTCAAAAGCTGTAGAGATGACAATGAAGAAAGCTCAGAAGGCAAGGAAGAAAGGTTAAGAAATGTGTCTGGAATTGAGACTGAAATTACCCTTTCTTCAGGGGAACAAGTAATCCCCTGCCATGAACAGGGTGTTCGGCTAGAAGGGTTCCATGAAGAAAGCACAGATGATTTAGTAGAAGCTGAAACAAGAGAAATAAGGGCTTGTCCATCCGGAGATAAGCAACTCACTAAACAACTTCCGTTGAAGAAAAAAATGAAGAAAGTTAAGGCCTTTAAGACACCCAAAAATGCTCTGTTCTTCTTCTTCTTCTCCATTTTGTTTCAAACCCCTGAAAAAAATAAAAGTTGTTTCAACAATTGAAATTAGTCATCAAGAAGGGAAAAGGAGATGAAACAATGGTGGCGGAGAGACCACTCTTCAGGAGACAGCATGCATGTGAAGGAGCCAAAGAAGGGGTTAATGTGTTATGGGGAAATGCTTCAAACTCACACCATATGTTTTTTGGTCAAACGCTCTCCATGCATGTGAAAAAAAATTAATAATGAAAAAAAAAAAAAAAACCCTTTTCAAATCCTTCCATTGTTAACACTATTTCAACTGTTTTGAGTGTTGCAGAATCAAAAGATGTTGACAGACTTACCGGTGACCTCCTCCGCCCTATCTGGTGGTGCAGCTTGGTGGTGGTGAGCGGTGACACCTAGAACCAAAGATGTCTTCTTTTTTTATGTCCCCCGTTTAGAAAAACTTATACTGCAAACGATGGCCATTTTCTTCTCTGTTGTTTTTCTTGGAAGTGGTGGCGGTGGTGGTGGTGGTAGAGGTGGTGGTGGTGGCTGAGTTAATCGGAAAAAGATTTCTACTTTGTTGCTCTTTCTTTCTTTCTTCTTGGTGTAAGAAAGGAAACAAATGTTGTGAGTTTCAAGAAGAGTGAAGACTAAACGTTGGATTTAAACGAGGATTATTGATTAAGAAATACAAGTACAGTGCTTAATTAGGGCGCCATTAATTGTTTAACTTACTTAAATATTTTCTGAGAAGGATTTGTGTTCCCAAAATTGCCATTTTCGAAGATTCATTTCATAAATACAGCTTACGTTAAATAGCTAGCTGCAGAAAGATTATTGCTATGTACTTTTACTAGCTAATAGTAGTACTTTTTTTTAACAAAAACATTTGTTGGAGTATCTTTCAGTACTAATCCATTGTAACAGTGTGAAAATTACTACTACTCTCTTCGTTCCAAAATGTAAATCTTTTTAGAATTTACACGTAAACTAAAGAAACAATCATCCAACAATTAATTTATATATTAAATATCTGTTTTACCCGTCATTAAATACATTGAAACTATAAATAAGACTAAATGAAAATAGATTAGCATCATTTATTGAGAGTAAAGTTAGAAAAATAGTCAGTAATTTGTAGAATTTGTAAAACGACTTACATTTTAAAAAATCTCTTTAAACTTAAAACGACCTACAAATGAAAATGAAAGGAATACTTGTCAAGTTACAATCAAGTTACTATACTACGTACTTGGTACGATCTAAAATAATATTCATTTATTCGTGATTATATCTCTGTTTAATTGCGACGGATTTTCTCTGCTTGAACATCCGACGCTGTAAGGCCTGAAATATAAATTTTATATGTGATGTAATTTAAAACATAGTTGAAGATGAATAGAGTTTAAATCTTCCACAAACGTTTGCATTTTATCTTCGTAATGTTCTATTCTATCTCACGCAGTGAATTAAAAAAAAAAAAACTTATTGTTGTTATTGTTGTATATTTAAGTAACGTTCTTCAGCATGGAGACTATAGGTCAAAGGAGTGGTAATCTCTGACAGGTAGTTTTAGAGTATTTTCAGTGCGAAAATGGTAGTAAAATATTACTCCTATTATTAAGGAATTAAATTTTTATTAATAATATGAATTTAACGTTTACAAAATGGGAAATAAATGGTTTCAGCTATAAGTTTCATCCAACGAAATGTAAATGAATTATAAAAGATGATAAAATCTTTATTTTTGTTGTTGATTGTGAAAACCCCTTCCCCAAGATCCACTGTTTTTCAACTAGCTCCTCCACAGTTTGATTATATTGCCCTACATTTTAAATTTTTTGCAATCAATATACTACTTTGACTGGTCAAGCAATTAATTACTAAGACAAGTTTACTTCGAGATATATAGTAGTAAAGTTTTCCTTAAACAGAGAAAAATATCCTTATTAACCAAACGAAAACATAGATTTTCTCCTTTACTTTGCATTTTTTTTTTACAAAAAAAAAACAAAACAAAACACATATTGTAAAGTTTACACAAAGTGTTCCCAATATATATTTTGTTGGTTTTTTAAAATAAAAAGTCTTCCTATTATTCAAATACTAGTATTATTATACTAGTACTGTACTTAAAATTATGGTGTCAAGTTTTCTCCCCCTTATAATACTATTCGAGTATTATAAGTTCAAACTTAATCATTACTACTAGTCAAAATGGTGGTTACTTGTAGAAATTGAGAACATTGAAACTCGAAGACAGTTGTTTGCCGTTGTCAAAATGGTTCCTTTATTTTATTTTATTTCTTTTTCCCCCCCCAAATTGTGAGTATATTCCATTCTTCATGCATGCAATATACTAGTACTGCACGAGACTGGATCTCCGTTAAAGTTCATCTTCTTATTTGTGCCTTTGTGGTGGAAAGGGAGAGAGAGAAAGGGGTAGTAGTAATAATAAATTACTCCTACTTACATTTGGAGAAGAGAGTTAGGCAGAATGCATAGGGAAGAGTAGATTAATTTTTGATGGCATAGGAGTGAGGCAGCTTATAGGGGATTGTGAAAGGTGAAAAGGAGGGTAAACTAATTGAATTAAATTAAACAAAAAAAATACAATAAATGTCCATTTGCTAAAGAAGTTACTACTACTATTATGATCAGATATTAAATTAATTTGTGTGTCCCTTTTGTGTTTTTATTAGAATATAAACCCCATAGGACTACTAGCTAAGGATATAAAGGAATCGGGCGTGCATGTAGAGGAAACCTTAATTAATGGTCTGTCTTTTTTACTTTGAAGTTAAAGTTAAAAAAAAAAAAGCAGCGGTAATTTTAAGTAGTATTTTTGAACAGTCCTTCTCTAAAAAAAACAAATAAATAAATTAACCCTTGATTTCTTATAAAAAAAAAGGTGGAGATAAGGAGGTTTCAATGGTGATTTGATTTCCGAGAAAATATTAGTGGGTTTGTTTCGGGAGTAGGGCTTAAGGGAGGGGGGAAAAAAAATGTACAGTCTCACATGAGTAATGAAATGCACTGTAGTAAGATTCATAAAAGGCACAACTTACGATTAGGGTTTCTGTTATGGTTTTTGAAAAATGAAAACTTGCGACTTTGTCTTTGTGTTTTAAACTTCCTCAGGACTCTCAGGTCTCAGCATTATTATGTCTATAACGTTTTGATGAGTTTTTTTTGGTTTCTAGGAAGCATCGATTTGGAAGTTATACTCCCTCCGTCTTACAATTATTGTACAGTTTGAGTTTTCACTTTTAGTACAACCGTCCTATAATTATTGTCCAGTTTGAGTTTTCACTTGTAGTACAAATTAAAAGTGAAAACTCAAATTGGACAATAATTAACGGACGGAGGGAGTAATCGTTATTCTATTCGTCTCATCATTTTAGTTTTAGCTAAATTGTGAGATGACAGTTAAACATTTTGTTTCCACCTTCAACATTTTACATTAATTTGATTATGTGTAGTAATGTTGAATTTGAAACAAGAACACAAAGGGGTCGATAATGTGAAAATGAAGTGATTAGATGGAATGGCAATTAGTTAGCACCCTATCTGGAGGGCAAAAGGAAGCTTTTTATGCAGATAATGATGCTCCATTTGGCCTGATTTTCCTCACCATTTGTTTGTATTTTGGTTGTCTATTATATTCTGTCAAGTGTTTTTATGGAGCCCCAACCCTACTTTAAACGAAGGCATTATGTAGTGACACTAAAAACGAAAGAGTAAAAAGCAAAATTAGTGCACTAATGGATATAAAATGATGACTCCAATAAGACAAAAATGAAGGAGGGTTAGGTGTGCATGGGGCAAATAATATTAAGATATTAGGTGTACCTAGGCAGTGCGTAAACCACACATAGGGAAGAAAAATTAGAATAATTGAGTCCGAAAAAAAGGAATCCACTCGCGCATTTATTATGCAAATCATCAGTTTAATTACGTGATCAAATGTTATCCTTTTTTTCCTCCAAATTTTAACTACGTGAATTAATTCCTTCAAATTTTATCCCTTTTTTTAGCACATGTTTAATTTCAAATGTTATCTTTTTTAATGCTTATCATGTTAGCTTTTAATTAGGAACATAATTGGAACATGTTCTTTTATAAGAATAAAGAAGATTTATTTTATTTTGGTAAAATTGAATATGGTTCGTCATCTAAACTTTTGAATATAATTTTATTGATGAATATACATGCATAAGGTAATGCGTAATGTATGATTATTGATGAACAGGGTGTTCATTGTTGTTTTTTACCGATGGTGTATCATATTATTACGATTTTACGATGAATATCTTATGTTAACTGATGAATAACGAGTTGTTATTGATGAATAGTAGAAGTTTTGCTAATTGGACGATGTTTCAATTATGAGGAAGAAGCTTTTGTTGCTTATAATTCTTACACAAAGCGCATTGGTTTTTTCAATAAACAAGTTCAAAGATTGGAAAATGTTCAAATCTGGTGTTGTATATTGGAAACAATTTGCATGTAGCAAACAAGGAGTAAAAAATTCGAGAGGTAGGTACGATACAACAATGAAAAATTATACCATACTGACGAATACGACAATTTCAACAATAAATAATTATACCAAACTGATGAATAACCCTCTATACCAATATCTACACTTATTGTGGTTTGATTTTTTGCAGATTCAGATATCCTGCTTCTTTTGGCTTCTAAATGTTGTTCTTCGCTCATGCTTCTTTCAGATTGTGTCTGATATTCATCGCTCATGCTACAATATATTTACAAATTCCATGAATAACTTGTCAGATGTGATGAATCCGGCAATTTCAACAATGAATAATTATACCAAACTGATAAATAATACAAATATTTAGTAATTTACAAAAAAAAAAAAACAATACTACATAGTAATGGTAAACGATGAATCTGGAAATTTCAACAATAAAAAATTATACCAAACTGATGAATAATGCCAAGATCGAATAATTTACCAAAAAAACAATACTACATAATTATGGTAAACGATGAATCTGACAATTTCAACAATGAATAATTATACCAAAACTGATGAATAATACAAAGATCTACTACTTTACCCAAAAAAAAATAATAATACTACATAGTTATGGTAAACAATTAATCTTACAATTTTAACAATGAATAATTATACCAATCTGATGAATAATATACAAATCTACCAATTTACCAGAAAAACAACATCCAATAGAAGAACAAAACTCTAAAATTGATGAATCTAATAATTTCAATAGTTATGAAAATGATGAATCTGATAATTTCAACAATGACTAATTATACCAAACTGATGAATAATTTCTCAGATCTTCTAATTTACCCAAAAAAAAAAAAGCAAATCGAATGAATTATCTTAAATCTACATAACCCATCAGATCTATTAACAGTTCAACAGCAGTGTTACCTCACAAATGCATCAGAATCT